TTGCATTCGTGTGTCCTGTTTTGTTGGCATCTGCAATGCCCGAGTGCAAGGCTCCTTAAGTAGCAGAGCTTAAAGCAAGAAATGCAAATTTATTCTTTTATTTTTTAGTTTAATTTATTATTTTTTTTAAAGCCTACAGCCCCTGATATTCCTAGGAGGTCTCCCATCCAAATACTAACCAGGTCCGACCCTGCTTAGCCTCCGAGATCAGATGAGATCGGGCGTGTAAGAAATGCAAATTGAAGAGGCCAGGGAGATGTGTTTATTTCAGCGATGGTTATAACAGTTGGTTTTGAGTGTTAGGAATCTTTTTTTTTCCCCGAGACAGAGTCTTACTCTGTTGCCCAGGCTAGAGTGCTGTGGCGTCAGCCTCGCTCACAGCAACCTCAAACTCCTGGGCTCAAGCAATCCTCCTGCCTCAGCCTCCTGAGTAGCTAGGATTACAGGCATGCACCACCATGCCTGGCAAATTTTTCAATATGTATAATTTTAGTTGTCTAGCTAATTTCTTTCTATTTTTTTTTTAGTAGAGATGAGGTCTCGCCTCTTGCTCCTGAGTTCAAATGAGCCTCCCGCCTCGGCCTCCCAGAGTGCTAGGATTACAGACGTGAGCCACCGCGCCCGTCCATATTTCTAAATGTCTGAAATAAGAAGAAAAGGTGATTTCTTTTCTAATTAAATGATAGTTAAAATCTCTAATTTCAGCAGAATTCAGGAAATATTATTCTTATGGGTGGAAATATGAATGTGTGCTCGCATGTACCAAGTGTCATTTCAGCATCAATGGTCATTTGATGCACTAGAGCAGGGGTCCTCAAACTTTTTAAATAGGGGGCCAGTTCACTGTCCCTCAGACCGTTGGAGGGCCGGACTATAGTTTAAAACTATGGACAAATTCCTATGCACACTGCACGTATCTTATTTTGAAGCAAAAAAACAAACAGGCAAAAACAAACACAGTAGTTTGAGGACGCCTGCTCTGGGGCTTATAATCGTCCTGTTATTTTATGTCTTTTTTTTGCCCCCTTTATTTGTAAAATAGCATATCTTAACAATCCTCAGACGTTTTGTTCCGGCTCCTTTTTTTTCCATCAAAGCATGAGTCGTGCACCGTTTACTATGGGGTAGTTTGTCATTGCAACATCACAAAAGAAGTGGGTAAAATAACATAGCAGAGTCTCTGCCGATGTAAATTAATAAAAAGAGTGGCGTGTGTCTCTTCGAGGTGAATGTGTATCAGGGGCCTCTAGGAAAAGTTACAGGGCATGGCTGTCGTCCGAACATTTAAGCAGCAAACCAGACCTTGGTGTCAATCAATGGGTCGGTCTAATTACCAGCCTTGGTCTTTGGAGACATTCTGCATAGCAGACGCACAAAATGCTGAGTGACTCAGACATGAAACGTAAATGCAATTAATAAAAAGGACGGTGGGATTCCGCTTGCAGAGTTGGTGAAACGTACTCTTTGCAGCTTTCAGGAGAATCTCCTTTTGAAATGTTAGCACCTTATTCTAGAAGATCTGGGAATGTTGCTGGCATTCTGGGCTTATTTTCTTTTCTCTCTTGGAACAGAGTAACGGTTTCCGGGATTCCTTTGGAGAACTTCATCCTTCTTCTCAGTACAGACTGTATTTTTTAAAATTTGTTGCTGAATTCCCATTGCTTTTCCAACTTTATAAACATCCGCTGCCTGGGCGAGGCAGATCTCATGCGAGTGGTTTGGTCTTTAAAATGTACCCAGATTTACAAAGCCACATCGATGTCTTGAAGACTTGACTGGGGAGCCCTTTTGGGTCATTTGCAAAAATATTGGGTTTTCATTTCCAAAGATATCTTCAAACGGGAGCAAGATGGCAATTGATAACCGTAGCAGATTCTGTGCAAAACCTTAAGTGTCAGATGACACTTCATGACAAGGGAGCTGGAGGTTGTTCCTGTCTTGCTTGGAAAGCTCCTGTTTAGAGGCCAAATGGAGAGGTCCCTTTTGTAAAGCGAGTCGCTTCATTTCTGAAATGTCTTTTTTTTGAATTTTTGGATAATGCACATTTTCAAAAGGGACGATTGTGGAACAAGACAGAAGCACGTTTGCGTTGGTGGTTGTCTTGCGTGAAATTTATATTTGCCTTTCCACCTGCGATGCTCTGAGTGATTGTAAGCGTGGGAAGAACTGGGAGAATTCTCTGCCTCCCTCGTAACTGGAGGAAACCAAGCTTTCGAGAGTGTGGGGTGTCTTGGGCCGCATTCTGGGGCGAATTTCAGAGGCTGGTGGATCCTAACCCAGCTTATTAACTCCTGTGTTAGTGAACTTGCGCTTTTTTTTTCTCTTTTTTTTCTTATTTCCTCCAGAATGTGTCTACCTGGGGCGTTTAGGCACGATCTCTTTGCTATCGAAGTGCTTTTAGGTCTGCGTGCTGCATTTGCATTGTGGGAGCTGCTATTTTGAGTTCCTAAGTGCCTTTGGCTATTTTATTGCTTTTCTTTTTCCCCCTCAGTTGTACCAGTTTTCATTGGCAGGGTATTTCCAAAGTGAGATTCAGTAGAACTCTAGCCTAAGGGATGCTCTTAAAAAAAAAAAAAAAAAAAAAAAGAATTCCTTGTTTCTCTTGAAGGACTCACAAAATAGAAGACTTTGGCTTCAAGTCGAGAAGTAAGTTTAACTTTGTTTATTGCTGTGGACTAAACTGTGTCCCCCCAAATTCATATATTGAAGCCCTGACCCCCCAGGACCTCAGATTGTGGGTGGGTTTGCAGATGGGTCTTTAGAGAGGTGATTAAGGTAAACTGAGGTCACCAGGGTGGGCCCTGATCCAGCAGGACCGGTCTCCCTATAAGCAGAGGAGACGAGGACACAGACAGGCACAGAGGGACGATCCCGTGAGGACACAGGGAGGAGACGGCGTCTGCATGCCCAGGAGAGAGGACCCAGGAGGAACCAGCCCCGAGACACCTCTCCCTCACCCTCGCTAAGAAGAAATTTCCCTCTCAAATCTCTGGTGTGCCGAGTGCAGCGTGGTCCTCCCCTCGCCGAGTGGTTCGTCCTTGTTACTCACATTTCTGCTTAGATGCTTTGGAGACTTTCGGACACCTGAGTGTCTGGGAGGCATCCTTGGAGACGTTCTCCCCGAACAAGCCGCCGGAATCACCCCCGGCTACCCTCCGCCACGCCAGCCCACTCTTACGTCTTGGCATTGCATAAGGCACTCTCTGGTGTTCTTCTTATCCTCTCCTTTGCCCCATAAAAAATGTCCACAGCATGAGAGTAGAGACCTGATTCCCTCCTGGGATCTCAGAGCCCTGGGCAGCAGGGAACACAGATTTACAGAATCAATTGTACCCCAGGCGTCCAGCAGTGTTGAGAAGTGTCCGCATATAATCTGAACTTTCGCGATGTACCCTTTTGGAAAAGGTTCTCGTACGTCTGTGTCTGACATGGACCTAGGAATGCTCACCCATGCTTTGCATCTCGGAAGAGAAGTTCCCCTCAGTCCCCACCTATCAGGTTGAGGCATCTCATTTTTGCCTTTTCCCACGGCACGCTGAATGCACTTTTGAAGCTGACTTTAGTCCTAGGTTTCCATGCGTGTCTCCCCAGATGAACTCCCAGGTGCAGACGGAGTTTTGTTCTCTCTCCTTTTTTCCCCCCTAACCACTTTATTGAGATATGATTGACATAGGGAAAGTTGTACATATTTAATGTATAAAGCTTTGACCGATTTGGAGATACCTGCACACCTGTGAAACCATCGCCTCAATCTATGCAATAAACATACCTGTCGCCTCCTCTTTTAGCTCAGACTTAGCCTGGGTACCTACCACTCTGCTCTCTGCTTCTGTGAGTTTGGGTGTTTTAGACTTCTCATATACATGTGGTTATGCCGTAAGTCCGTCTTTCTGTGCCTGACTTATTTCAGTTAACATAAGGTCCTCTGCGTGTATCCATGTCGGCACAAATGACAGAGTTCCCTCATTTTTGAAGGCTGAATAGTATTCCAGTGAAGATATAGACCGTATTTTCCTTTATCTGTTCATCCTGCGTGGGCACTGGGGTTGATTCTGCATCTTGGCTATTGCAGTAAACTCGCGAGTGTAAACAGTAAACATGGGAGTGCAGGCATCCGCTTGAGGTCCTGGTTCTCTTAGGGTTTGCATCCTAGCCTAAGGTGGGCACTGCAGACGTGTAGGATATCAGCAAATGAATGAATAGCTCAATAGTGATTCGTAAGCTTCGCTCATTACAAAGCGATTCCTTAGAAAGAGTCACTTCCAAAGCATCCTTTCTGTTTATTCCTTTGTGTTGTCTGGAGCGGAAGTAATCACATAACGGAAGCTGGCGGTATTTGTCGCAGTTGCTAATCTCTGTCTGGCGCCGTGAAATGGGTTGTTTAAAAATATTCCCGAGGAGTGACGTGTGTCACTTCCAGGGGCTGCTGGCACTGGGGTGAAGGCAGGTGGAAGGCAATTTAGAGAGAGTTCAGAGATCCCGTATGATTCCTACGAAGACATTATTTAAGAAAGGTGTGTCATAAGCTCGGGTACTTTCCGGAATCCGAGTTGGGAACAGGTGCAGGCTGAAAGGTAAACCTTCTTCCCCCCTGGCTGGTCATGTTCTTATTTCCTCTCTCTGTGGGTGTCTAACAACCATTTCATGCCAATCTGTGCCAGATTTTTAAATAAAGAGAATATTTAGCACGTATCATACGTGGGAGAGTTCATGTGTTGGATGTGTTTTGGGGCCAGGTCTCCGGGAAGACGCATTTGCAGAAACGATGGCCCGTTTCCCCCAAAAGGAAGATCCTCTCTGTGATAATGTTCGCGTTCAGTTGCAGACTCCACGCGAGAGCCTCTCTGTACATACCAACCCTCCGCGTACCTCGATGCCGAGACTTGAGGTCCATAGGCTGTGTTTTGAGGTCTGGGTGCAGCCTCCTGCCCATTGCATGGTGCGGGTGGTTCCACCATCAGGAGACCTGATCGCTCCTTTCTGTTCTGTCCCCCTCCCAGGCACTGGGACGTTTGGAAGGGTGCACCTGGTGAAGGAGAAGACCACCGAGCATTTCTTTGCGCTCAAGGTGATGAGCATTCCCGACGTCATCCGCTTGAAGCAGGAGCAGCATGTGCACAATGAGAAGTCCGTCCTGAAGGAAGTCAACCACCCCTTCCTCATCAGGCTGTGAGTCCACTCCCTGCCCGGATGGATGGATGGATAGATACATGGATGGATGGATGGTTGGATGGATGAATGGATGGTTGGGTGGATGGATGGGTGGATGGATGGTTGGTTGGATGGATGGGTGGATGCATGGTTGGGCAGATGGTTGGATGGTTGGATGGATGGTTAGAGGGATACATGGATGGATGGATGGATGGATGGATGGATAGATAGATACATGGATGGATGGATGGATGGATGGATGGATGGATAGATAGATACATGGATGGATGGATGGTTGGATAGATGATAGATGGTTGGTTGGATGGATGGGTGGATGGATGGTTGGTTGGATGGATGGGTGGATGGATGGATGTGTGGATGCATGGTTGGGCAGATGGTTGGATGGTTGGATGGATGGTTAGAGGGATACATGGATGGATGGATGGATGGATGGATGGTTGGATGGATGGATGGATGGATGGTTGGATAGATGGATGGATGGTTGGATGGATGGATGGATGGTTGGATGGATGGTTGGGTGGATGGCGGGTTGGAGGGATGGATGGATGGATGGATGGATGGATGGATGGATGGATGGATGGATAGATTGATGGATGTATGGATGGTTGGCTGCCTGACTGGCTGGTTGGCTGGCTGGTTGGATGTTTGGGTGGATGGATGGATGGATGGATGAGTGGGTGGATAGATGGTTGGATGGTGGATGGATGGATGATGGATGGATGGATAGATGACATAGATACATACAGGGATGGATGGATGGATAGACAGATGATACACACACACACAGATACATAGATTAGATAATTAAGATTTTTGAGAGAAACAGAACGGGGGGGGGGGAGAGATTTTAAGGAATTGGTTCTTATGGTTGTGGTTGTAGGCTTGGTGATTTTCAAGAGTGTGGGGTAGGCCAGGTAGCTGGAAAGCAGGAAAGGTTTCTACATTGTAGTCTTGAGGCAGATGGCTTCCTCCTTGGGGGCAAACCGAGTCTGCTGTTAGTAAATGTTAATCCCATCAAGAAAATAAATAAACAATCTTCACAGCAACATCTAGACTAGGGTTTGACCAAACCAGTGGATGGCGTAGCCTGACCACGTTGACTCTTACAGTTCGCCATTGTACCAGGCAAAAAGGCAAGACAGGTTAGGAACGGGCCACTCCATGAGATCCACAAGTGACCATTCAGTGAGTCAAGAGACTTGCCTGTCCTAAGAATGATCGCTAGATACTGAGATAGGGGAGAGGTAACAGCTGGTAGGTGGATAGATACCATAGATCAGGCGTCCTCAAACTACGGCCCGAGGGCCACCTAGCACATTTATCCGGCTCTCTGGGTGTTTTTGCCACAGATGCCTGTCCAGCTTAGCAGCCGACTCGTCCCGGGCCCACAGTGCGCACTCTCCAGTGGTCCGAGGGACAGTGAACTGGCCCCTGTTTAAAAAGTTTGAGGACCCCTGCCATAGATATTGATACAGAGGATAGATACTGAGACAGATTGATACGGATGGTAGATGACTGATAGACAGGTCTAGATGACACATGATCAGTAGAGAGATACTGAGGGAGATAGGCAAGAGGCAGCTAATAAATGCTTGATAGATCATATATAGATGGATCTTACATGCTAAAACGAGGTTTCTCGACCTCGGCAATACTGACATTTGGGGGGACCATTCTCTGTGTGTGTGTGGGGGGTGTCCTGTGCACTTGGGGGTGTCGAGCAATGACCCTGAGCTCCACCCACCAGATTCCAGCAGCGCCCACACCTCCAAGTAGTGACAGCCACAGTGTTTCTGGACATCACTGGCCGCCGCCTAGGGACAAACTCAGCCCACCATCAGAACCGCTGTTGTAGAGGCACAGACAGGGCTACCTGGGGAGGGGTGGGGGGTCCCTTTCTCTGTCTTCTGAGCCTGGAGTCCCAGCCGGTGGTTGTTACTGATTAGCCTACGGGCTGGACAGTGGGTTCACTGCCATGGCATTCCTCCCATGGTAGCAGAGCCAGGCTGACGGCTTTGGTTTTCCGTTGCGGCTTTCAGTCAGCTTTCTTCCGCAGGTTTTGGGAGGCGAGAGGTCTGTCCTTGTAGTTCCTGGTTGGATGACAGCTTGTATCTCCGCTGAGAGAAATTCACACCTCAATCTCTTCTTAGCGGAGAGGGAGTGTTTCCCAGGAAAAAGATCTTTTTGGTTTTTTTTTGAGTCAGAGTCTTGCTCTGTCACCCAGGCTAGAGTGCCGTGGCGTCAGCCTTGCTCACAGCAACCTCCAACTCCTGGGCTCAAGCCATCCTCCTGCCTCAGCCTCCTCCCGAGTAGCTGGGACTACAGGCATGCGCCACCATGCCTGGCTAATTTTTTGTATATATTTTTAGTTGGCCAATTAATTTCTTTCTATTTTGTAGTAGAGACGGGGGTCTCGCTCTTGCTCAGGCTGGTTTCAAACTCCTGAGCTCGAGCGATCCTCCCGCCTTGGCCTCCCAGAGTGCTGGGATGACAGGCGTGAGCCACCGTGCCCGGCCCAAAGATCTTTTTTTTTTTCTTAGCATCCACAGACCTGAGTGTGGTCTCCATCTTCAGCGGTGCTTGGAACTGGAGGAGTCGGCACCAGAACCATTCCTTTGTTTTCCCGGGAGTTAAGGAGGAGAGACCACAGAGTTCTGACTTCTTATTTTGATTTTTTTGGCCCTCTCTCTGTTTGAATTTTAAAAGCAGAAATCTAGAAGTAGCTCTGTCCTTCCTCTTTTGTTATTGCCTGCAGAGCACAGCTGCCAGGGGAGGAAGGCGGCCACCTCCCCGGCCCCCCGTTCCTGTTCCTTGTCTGAAAATAATGAAATGTATGTTTGGGGTTTTGTGCAGGGTGCAAGGCAAACGCTTCCAACAGGGAGGTTTAAATTCTCGTGATAGGATGAAAACCTACTTGAATCATCTGGAAACCGTCCTCCACCCCCAGTCCTTGGAAAAATTGTCTTCCGTGAAAATGGCCCCTCATACCAAAAAGGTTGGGGACCTCTTACTGCTAAGGGACCTCCCAGAAATAGAATTATATATAGTATTTGTCCTTTTATGGATGGCTTATGTCTCTGAGTATAATATCCTCAAAGTTCATCCACGTCATAGCAGCTGTCAGGATTTTCCTCCTTTGTGAGCCTGAGTAATAGTGTGCTGTGTGGATATGGTACACGGTGTTTATCTGTTCTTCCGTCACTGCACACGTGGGTGGGTGGCTTCCACCTTTTGGCTGTTAAGGTAAAATGCCGCAATGAACACAGGTGTGCACATCGCTGTTCAGTGCCTGCTTTCAACTGCTTGAATGCATCTTTAATATATAATTGTATCTCCTTCCTGCTGGTGCAGGGGGCCGATGCATTGCTCTATTCCCATTATTTCAGCATGTCCCAAGTGCATTCCCTGCTACGCACCCTCCTCATTGCCACCAGGTAACCTCATTCGGCAGCCTGCCGTGCGTGGGTCCTTCTGCACTGGGTGCTTAGATAGCCACATGCTAACCCACACAAGCACACGCACGGTTTTTGGCGTCATGACACCATAACAGGCAGAATTTTGGCCTCCTACTTTCTCTGAGATCCCTCTTGGGCATTTTGGGGAGGAGACGTCCGTTCGGGATGGTGGGTGGTAAGGACAGGCCCCCTGGTTTTCCACTTCAGGGAAGCTCAGCTGTGCAAGACAGCATTGCAGAGGACGGGAGGGTGCACGTGGCTTTGGAGACCAGGGTGTGTGCCTGTGTGTGTGTGTTCCTCAGTGACAATTTCCCTAGGCCACCCTCTCCTCCCACACAATGACATCAGATGGTGCCCGCCCTGTGTTCACCTTTGCAACCTTGCTTGGCCTCTGCCTGTAGCTCAGACCTGCACCTGCCGAGCTAGACGCAGGGACCCACCGCCCACTCCGAGACTCAGCCACCCCGCCCACGCGTCTCCCAGGCAACGGGGGTCGGGCGGGGGTCATTCCACCACCAAATGAATTCTTGACCTCCTTCTGTAATCAGTTCCTCCATCCCACTTCCCCATTCCATAAATAGCCATTCGAGCTCCTGGGTCCCGCCCGGGCAACACAGTTTATTGCCTTTCCTTCGGCTCTGGATTCACTCCAGCCCCTGTGTACTGCGTTTTTGGATTTTTCTTGTTTATTTATTTATTTATGGGAGAGACAGGGTCTTGCTATGTCGCCCACGCTGGAGTGCAAGGGAGTCATCGTAGCTCACTGCAACCTCCAACTCCTGGACTCAAGCGATCTTCCTGCCTCAGCCTCCTGAGTGACCGGGACTACAAGTGTGTGCCACCATGCCCGGCTCATTTTTCCTATTTTGTTTATGTACACATGGGATCTTGCTATGTTGCCCGGGCTGGTCTCAAACTCCTGGGCTCAAGAGATCCTCCCACCTCGGCCTCCCAGAGTGCCGGGGTTACAGGCGTGAGCCTCCGCGCCTGGCTGCACTTTTGAATGCTAAGACACGTTGACAAGCCGGGCGCGGTGGCTCACGCCTGTAATCCTAGCACTCTGGGAGGCTGAGGCGGGCGGATTGCTCGAGGTCAGGAGTTCGAAACCAGCCTGAGCAAGAGCGAGAGCCCGTCTCTACTATAAATAGAAAGAAATTAATTGGCCAACTAATACATATATATATAAAATTAGCTGGGCATGGTGGCGCATGCCTGTAGTCCCAGCTACTCGGGAGGCTGAGGCAGGAGGATCGCTTGAGCCCAGGAGTTTGAGGTTGCTGTGAGCTAGGCTGACGCCACGGCACTCGCTCTGGGCAACAAGCGAGACTCTGTCTCAAAAAAAAACAAACAAAAAGACACGTTGGCAAAGTCCATTGGCTTCGGTGGCATTTTCACAGAAGCCACCGTGGCTCATCCGGAACCCCGGCCCTTCTCGAGATCTATTTCCACGGGGCTCACCTCTTCCTCCCGCCAGTAGCCGGGGTGGTCTTCTTTCTGAAAGGAAAACTGGACCACGTCCTCCTTTGTTTTCCAATGCTGTCA